GGAGGCAGGCGGAGGCCCTGAAGGAGAAGGACGCCGCCATGGACAGGTGAGTGGGGGGCTGTGGCCCCGGGAAGGGGCGTGGGTCACTGTACAGTGCGGGCGTGAGATGGTGCAGTTGGTGCGCGTGAAGGGGCGCCTCGGCTTGTGGTGTTGAATGGAGAGCACCTGGCACTGAGCACCACGCTCCGCCCTCGGAGCCTGTCCCCTGACTGAGCCTGTCCCCAAGCACTCCGCCCACCCAGCCCAGCCCCCACCTGCTCCCGCTGTCAAGCCTGGCTCTTGAGGGACCGCCTGCCGGTGGGTCACGCTGTGTCCTGTGTCGGCTCACTTCCCTGAGCGCATGTCCTCCAGGCGTCCTGCTGTCACGGGCCAGGTTTCCCTGTGGAGGGGCGCCTTTTGTTTACCCAGCATCGGTGATGGGCGTGGGGTCCCCACCCTCTGGCTGCCGGGGAGCTGTGCTGTGAGCACGCCGGGGGTCTGTTTGGGTCTTCTCTCCGCTCTGTGGAGTCTGGGCCCAGAGGAGGGAGGGCTGGGCTGGTGGGAAGTCATTTGCTTGTGAGGAACCGCCAGCCTGTTGTCCACAGCAGATGCCCCAGTGGGCCCCGCCTCTCCCTTAGCTGGTTCCTTTAAGCCCGGCTTTCTTCCCGCTTCCCAGCCACCTCGGTCCCACGGCGCCAGGCGTCCAGGGAGAAGCGGCGGGGACCTTGGTAATGGGCACTGGGACTGAGCGCTCGTCCCCGCTGTGTTCGGGAGGTAATTGAATAACTCACTGCAGTGCTGACCTGCTCCGAACCGCTTTTCCCTTGGGCTGCTGTCGCTTCTCCACTGGGAATCCTTTGCCAAATGTCCTCTCTGCCAAAGGAACAGCGGCTTTGACAACAAAGACCAGGGGGCGCAGCTTGCTCAGGCGCTTCCTTAGGTGCCGATGTTGGATGGTCGTGCGACCCGCTCAGTGGGCCGGTGGGGGGGGTGGTCGGGGAAACTGAGCGAGTCTCGCTCGCAGTGTGTGGCTGATGGTGCGGCATGGCCCCTCCCAGGTCTGCGGCCTCCTCCCCTCCCCTCCCCGCCTCTAACGGCTTTCTTCTTGTGACATCTACCCAGTTTTTGGTGATTTTACCAGGGAACATAAGGTCATTATAGACCAGCCGTGGGCAAACTACGGTCCGCGGGCTGGATCCAGCCCGTTTGAAATGAATAAAACTAAAAAAAAAAGACCGTACCCTTTTATGTAATGATGCTTACTTTGAATTTATATTAGTTCACACAAACACTCCATCCATGCTTTTGTTCCGGCCCTCCGGGCCAGTTTAAGAACCTATTGTGGCCCTCGAGTCAGAAAGTTTGCCCACCCCTGTTACAGACCCTCATTTAACTATTCAGTTTGAAAGTGCGCGCTGAATGTCCACGTGGAGTGCTGTGCCAGGCGAGGCGAGGCGAGGCGCGAGGGCGGCCCGAGAGGCAGGCACACCCCCATCA